GGCATGTTGTAGCACAAGATAATTAGTGTGTGAACCTATTTTCATTTATATAGTGCTCTGTGAACACAAATTAGTTAGCATAAATCAGTTAAATGAAAAATTAGGTGTCTATTTACTTGTGACCACTCAGTGTATAGTGGTGATAAAAACTAGATTCTTTTTTTTTGTAGTTTGCTCGTTCAGATTATTTATTATTGTAGATTTTTAGCAACTTCTCAGGTACTTGTAGAACTATAAGTTATTACACAATGACATTAAAAATACTAATATTGTAACATTACTATTAGTATTACTAGTCCCGAACCCAGAACAAATAATAATAAATATAAAATTTCGATTAAGTAATTAGCTTATAATATTATATACATAGAATAAGTATTTGTACCAACCTTTATTTTAAAACAGTACAGCAGTGAATGAGCAACGGTATTTGCCATTTTCTTAAAATTGAAAGAAATATGAACGTGTATTATACCTAACCATACTTTAGTTTAATCACCTCACTTTCCGCTATTATACCTACAATTTGTACAAACAGAAATTGTTGTAATAGGCCTAAAGCATCTTTAATAATTGAGAGCACCCCCTTCTGACATACATATTCCGAAAAAAAAAGTATTTACAAAAATAATAATGTCGCAAAGGGGTTTTCTATGATAAATAAAATAATTTTTCGTACTTACTATTGAATATTCTACGTAGAACATATTGGTATACCACATATTTAAATTAATATAATGACAGGAAATTGTATTGGTAAGACAGAGTAATACACACTAATGTCTCTTATCGATTATGCTCTTAAGTTATTTAACAATTTCATTTGATGATTGATGCTACTATTCCTACTCGATGAGCACCCTAGTGGCACAGAGGAATGTCTGCGGACTTACAATGCTAGACACCGGGTTTCGATACCTGTGGTGGGCTGAAAATAGATAGCCCATCGTGTAGTTTTGTGCTTAACTTTAAACAAACAAACCTACTCGATGAACTAGTTTTTTTTTTTTGTTTCTTCAATTTCGTACAAAACTACTCGAGAGGTATTTGCGCTAATGTTCCCTAAGTTGGACTACTCTTTACCAACGACTAGTAGAAACTCACCCTCAAATTTTAACGACTTCATGGCTGAAAGAGCAAGCTTATTAGGCGACAAATTTCAATCTCGCAACTACAAGATTGTGACTCGAATACCCTAATACCAAGCTATAAGATCAACTTAAAATAGACACGCTTATATTCCAGACATTTGAATTCTTAACACTAGTTTTGAAATTTCTTTTATCAAATCATGAACTGTGGAAATGTCTACATGTATTCAATGCTCCTTTACCCTCCTAAATGGTTTTAGTTTACACTTATGCAAGATAAAAAAATAACATCCTTTCAAAATAATCTATTATTCATAAAACAGAATGTTATAGTGTATTATGCAGGGATTTCGTGCGTTATCTGCCTTCATATTTCAATGAAGAATTTTTTAAAATATTTTCATTTATTTCAAAGTTTATGTATCTTTTGCATGATATATCACATGGTCAAGAGAGCCAAAGTTGATAATTTTGTTGTGAATCTAAGTTTCAAATGGACAGTAACTGTCTGTTGTAGAAACCTACAAATGTAGAAGACGACGTTCCGAATGTCTTCCGTTTTTCGTCTTCAGGTCAGTGTGTGTTTTATTTTATTTATTTCTAGCAGTTATTTTGATTTGAACTTAATTATTTCAGAAGAAATAATTAATAATCAGGGGTGCTCGAAGATAAGTAATCCTCCTTTACCTTGCTCGAGGCTAGAGGTTATAAGTTCAATGAGAGGTCATCCGTGTTAATAAGCCATACGGGCGAATAGATAATTAAATGATTAAAATAATAAAAAAAGTCTAAATAAACAGAATAATATAATTAAAAATATATAAAATAAAATAAATAGATAAATAATAATAATAAAATATATGTATAAAATAAAGAAATATATATATATATATATATATATATACATACATCCACAGATGATGGTGAGACAAGTGGGCAAAAGCGAAGTCCAAGGTGTAGCAGAGACCGGTTGATCTTGTAGAAGGAGCAAGTCGACAGCAATTGTTGACAATTTATCGAAGCAAACGGGCCTTTACAGGGTCTGGCGGGGATCAGTGGATCCAAGTGCCATGGCTGGGATCTACAGATCCAATGCCTAAAAATTTGGTGTGGGGTAAAACAGAAGTACCCCAAGAAAACCCACTTTCACTAGTCGGGACGGAAAGAAAAGCCCGGCTAGTGTCGAGTGAAGAGCTATTGAAGGGATGAAGATCTGAAAAGAGACTGAAAATTTAAATAGTTAAACATAGATTATAATATACTCTTAGTAGTTTTACAGATCATGGTGGTGTGTTAGTGGTGTTGTGTATCCTGTTGTATGGGGATAGATATTTGCACCATGGTTTGGGGTAGCGGCAATTTTACGAAATTCGGCTGTGAGTGAGTTCCGGTAGGTGGCTTATTTGTAATATTTGGTGGCAAGTTTAGAAATACGTTCTTGTGCTGTATGTAGTGAGGTGTGTTTTTCTACATAGCGTGCTGGTGTGTAGTGAGGAAGGCGGTGGGCAAGAGGTATTGCACTATTTTGTAGATTTTGGAGTATCAAACGTTGGTTGTTATTCATTTTACAGATTACCATTGAGCCATAGTCTATTAAAGGTCTGATAAATGTATTGTATGTATACGTTATTATCTGTGGCCTGCATCCGTGGGCGTGGTGACTTATTATGTATAGGTAAGCTATTTTGGTTTTAATTTTCTTGATAATTTCCTTGAAATGTGTGTGCCATGTTAGTTTAGGGTTGATGGTTATTCCTAGGAATTTTGCAGATATAGAGAAAGAGATGGGGATATTGTAGAGACTTAGTTTAGCTACTTGACACGCTTTAGCCTCTCGACGTGGATTCCTGTACGTGGTGAGGGGACCTCCCAGGGAAGGTTATGTATTTTCAGTTACTTCCTCTGGGATCTAAACATCCACCCACGTGTTTGCTGTGCGTGGCGACCCGTGAAGGGAGGAGAGGATCCTGGTCATTGAGTGGTGTCTGGGGGACTGCAACACACCACTTTGGCCTTGAATTCCTGTAGACGGGTGGCCTTGGGGTGGCCCCCCAGGGTCAATCGGCTGGTCCACTCGGGCTAGGGTCAACTGAGTACCAGTGTTGGGCGTTCTCAACGGGTGTTGTGGACATTGTGTCTGATACTGGTGTTTGGGTATAGTGCTCACGAAACTCTGGCGTTGCTGCAGTGTCCTTGTTTGGCATTGTAGTGCATCCCCTCGTTGGACTCAGTGGCGGGTCGGGTCAGTGGGCACTGAATCTTTCTTCTTAATTATGGATCCCCAATCCAAATAAAAAATAGTAAAAACTCTGCTTATTGGTAAACGACCACGCCTAGAAGATTCTGAACAGCAGTCTCCACCATAAGGTGGACCTGTACCTCGCTTTCTGATCTTGCATTCACTATCTGATAAATCTTTAGGGCAAATGTCTCCCTTTTTTATTCAGAAGGGCTTAGTGGGGGCTTGCTGGCTCTCCAAAGTCAGTAAAGAAGCGCCGTTATGGAGACATCTTGGTTGAAACATCCACAGCTAAGCACAGTGAACTCCTCTTGAATTCAAAGGCCATTGGGGATATACCCATTGAGGTTACTCCCCAGGCTTCCTTGAATTTGTCACGAGGACTTATTGATTAGAGGGACTTGAAGTCTATCCCCGAGTCAGATATCCTTGGTGGTCTCTCCAGCCAAGGAGTTTCAACTGTTCAAAGGACCTCCACTCGTCAGGATGGTGTTATGGTGCCGACCTCAGTTCTTATTTTGACGTTTTCATCACCACGTCCACCTGTCACTGTTAAGGCAGGTTATTTGAACTGTAAGGTACGACCCTATATTCCCAACTCTCCTCGACGTTTTCAGTGCCAGTGGTTCGGTCAATCGAAGACATCTTGTCATGGTTCTGTGACATGTGCTCGTTGTGGTGGCAAGGACGAATGTCTACGAATGCAAACTAGACCCTCACTGTGTTAATTGTAGTGGTTGGAGGAGAAAGAGGTACAGTGTTTGAAGACTGTTCACAACATTTCTTATCCAGAGGCTCGGAAGCTATTATTTCCCTACTCCATCTCGGACATATGCCACTGCACTACGCTCCACTGCTACAGTGGAAGTGCAGACGGACCTTTTCATGCCTCCATCTGAGTCTTTTTCAAGCCATGTGAGAGGTCTTCTGCCCTCTTCTACCACCAGTTCCAAAATTGTATTGGACAATATTCGGAAAGTCACTGGGAGATATGCTTCCCATCTTTCTCTCCAATGGCCAGGACGTTGCTGATGTCCAGAGCATTG